CTCTACCTACGTTTACACCCTGTCTCATCTGTTTTGAAGCTCACAGTTTCCTAGTGTTTCCAAGTGTTTCCACACTGTTGTGCACCAGAGGAATGGAGTGCTGTGCCCATGGTCTCGTCAAGCCCTTTTGCCTCCCCATGTCCCTGAACTGGCCATCTGGGCCACTTCCCCGTCATTTTATATGGCTTTCTTTCACATCATTTGTGTGTTGGACAAGTCTTTGCTCTTAGCTCAGGTCATCCTCAAACTCGTGACCCTCCTGCGTCAGCCTCCTGAGTGCTGAGGTTACAAGTGTGTGCCACGCCCAGCCAGGAGACACTCTCAATAGTTCAGTGAATTGTAGCGTTTCTACAGGGGTGGGCGGCCATCACCCTAATAGGTTTCCCGTGTCTTCCCACTGTAGAAACTGTTCTCCGTTCCCTTCTCTCCTAGATGAACTAAATTTGCCTCTTCTGGTCCATTTTATAGCAACAAAACCATACGTAGTATATAGTCTTTGGGAACAGGCTGCCTTTCTAACCCCACTGAAAACCATTGGTTAAATCACTCTTATTACAAAAACATGATAGAAGTATGTTTCACTGTAACCCGATCATATGGCATTTAATACTGGCTCTGTTATGGTATGAGGATTTGCATTTAAATACCATGTGTGTAAATACTTAGGAAAAAGAAATATGCTGCCATGTGAGATGTCATCAGAGGCATATACAGTCATAAATCTAATACTATCATATCTGATCAGAGCTTTACTGAAATGGGCAGAAAGGCAGAGACATTGATAAACTTCCCATGTACATTTCTTCAAGGTATTTACCGGGGTTTGAATACCACCAGCAAAGAAGTTATTTATGGGGGGAGCCAACTGCCCAGTGCAAAAGGTGGAGTTAAAATATATATATATATATATGGGATGTTTTTAATACTTAGGAGAATTGTAGTTCCTCCTGATTATCAGGAAGGGTATTTAGACTGTTTCCCTGTTCTTGGGAACACTTGAAATACTTACGCATCCAGGAAGGATCCCACGGGGAACATATACCAGGCTCTGTAGGCTCCCAGCTCTTTCCCCTTTCCTCTTTCCTCATTAGACCACCTTGGAGCCCAGGCTCCCCGGCGTGGCAAAGATGCTCAAAGCAAAAGGCGACGCCACATCTCTGTTGCTGATGGTTTGAGTTCTTTGGCCTGGAGTTATTACTGTCCTGTTTGATCAGAAGCTCCTTGACAAGGATGGAGTTTGTAAGTTATCCTCGAGAAGTTTTCCGTGTTAAAATGTTGTCTCAAGTTCGGGGAGGGGAGACAGTAGGATGGGGCCGAGGCAGGTAAGCAGGGCTGGAAGATTCTGTTGTAGGCTCCAGACTGGAAGAGGGGCCGTGTAGGCTGGGGAGCTTCAGGAGAAGAGGCCTCAGAGCCACACTCAGAGCTGTGGCTCGTACCCCTCCTAACGCTGCAACCCTTTAATGCACTTCCTCATGCTGTGGTGACCCCAACCGTAGATTATTTGTTGTTCTTTCATAACTGTGGTTTTGCCGCTGTTATGAGTCTTAATGCAAATAGTTTTTGGAGAGAGAGGTTTGCCAAAGACTTGCGACCCTTGAGTTGAGAGCTGTTGCCTTCAAGTTATCGGGTGGCATATGATATGGCTTATGTTAGTTTTGTCAACTGGACAGAAACTAGAGCTGATGAGATGATCTCAACTAAAGAATTGCCTCCTTCACATTGGCCCCTGGGCATATCTGTGGGCATCTTCTTAATTGCAAATTGATGCAGCTGGGCCTGGGCAAATGAGCAAGGAGGAGGTCGGTAAGTAAGGTTCCTCCATGACCCGTGGTCCGTGCTACAAGTTCAGCCCTTGGCGTCCTTCAGAGATGGACCGTGGGCCAGATAACCCTTTTCTCTCCAAGTTGCTTTTGGTCATGGTGCCTAACACAGCCTCAGAAAGCAAGTTAAAGATATGCCTTTTGCTAGATGGGATCTTTTGTTTTTAGTTTGTACCAGGCTGGACTTGGGCTTGCAACAATCCCCCTGCCTCTGCCTCCTGAGTGCTGGTGTTACAGATTTGCGCTTCTGGACCCAGCTGCAGAGGGGCTTTTGGAGAGGAGGCTGGCGGAGGAGGAGGAGGTAGGGTTTGACTTTTTTATTTTTGTTTCCAAACCTACTGTTCATTTTCCACTGTGGAGAGAGAGGTCTTAAACATCACGTGTAAAAACTTGTGCTTTGTGTGTGGGCGAGAACTGTTGCCTGTTTCCTCCAGGCTGAGGCTGTGAGCACAGCTTTGGGAAGCATTGTCTGAGTGGAATAAAGTGATGTAAAAACTCGTGGTAAAATAAAGGAATGATAAAGCTGCACCAAAATTCCTAATGACGGACACGTGTTGATGCCCAGGGTAGGAGATGTAGGCTGCTACTAGACAGGTGCCGGGCGTGCAGCTTTGAGGGCGGCTATGAACTGTTGG